CCCGCCCACGCATCCCTGAACAACTGGCCTCCCTTCCCAGGCATCACGCCAGGCGAGCACCGGACCAAGGCCGCCAGCTGTGCTGGGGACGTGGGCGAGGGCAGCCGATGCTCCGCCTTTATTTACGGACACACAAAGGCTGATCAGAGGAACGAACAGCAGGGGGCTGACCCAGGAACCAGAGCGGAGCTCTCAGCTGCCCTGTCACCTTCACAAGGGGGGCCTAGTGGCCCAAGGGTCACCTTCTGTCTGAGTGCGGTTCCTGTGAATGCCCCGGATGGGGAAGGACGGGAGTGTGACCGCCACACTGACTGGGGGGACCTAACGCTGGAATCCAGAGGCCGCGTGCGTGGCTGCTGCGAGGCAGCTGTGCGGCCCCCCACGGCCCTCCATGGTCCCCCACGCACACATGGCGCCGGCTGGACTCTTCTGCTGTGGGGAGCCCAGCCGTGCTGCCCGGAGCGCTCCCGCGGCGGCTGCGTTAGGAGTAGATGGTGATGACCTCCCGGCCACTGCCCCTCACCAGCAGGACCCGGTCCAGCCCCTCGGTGAGGACCTCGAGGAACTCCATGTCTGGGAGGCTCGCGTTAAGGCCACAGCTGCACCATCGCACGTGGGGCCTAGGGCGGGGCGGGGAGCCCTAGGAGGTGGGCCGGGAGTCCAGGGGTGCCACATGCAGCCTGCAGGTGCAGATGCCGGCCCGACAGGAACCTGGGGCACCCTGCCCGCAGACCCCCTGAGGGACATATCCCCTGCCACCCAGACGCCCAGGCAGACCAGAAGTCCTAGTCACTGACACGCAAACTCCTAAAGCTGAGCGCCAAGCCCAGACCACGAGCCCCTCAGCAGCCGGGAGCCTGTGGGGGCTTCTCCCCGCACACCCACTTAGGGCCCAGAGCCTGTCTGGGACAGGGCTGACCTGTGCCCTCTGAGGCCAGGCCCCCACTCTACAGCTGACAGGGCCCAACCACAGGGAGCAGGCCAGGACCCACGCAGGGATGCAGTGCCCAGTGGGCAAGGTGTTCAGGCACCACCAGAGTGGAGCCTTGGCAGAGGCCCCAGGCACCCGGCCGCCTGAGACGGGGTCGCAGGCACGGGCCATGGGGGGACTCCAGGATGGGGGGTG